CCCTTTCATAGTAAGAGAGCACCTATCCCATTTCGTATCTCTTCAGATATTTCATTCATTTTCAAATCAATATAACTTTTTAGACGAGCAAAGTATTAGAAAACTATCCGAACAAAAAATGTCACCTTTTAAGCTCATATGTTCGCTTGCGACAATCATGTGAGTGTTGCTCGTTATTTAGAGGCATCAACCGCGTCTACCTTTCATATCACTCATTAGTTTGACGAGAACTAAAATTGTATTCGCTTTTGCCTAAAGATTTGAATTACATTATGATCATTAAATATATAATGATAACACTACTATTAGTATTTTCGTAGAATTTTCAAGCTGTTGGGTTGTCTTTTCACATGCAGCATACCTTACAATATGCGGCTTCAATTTAAATTGTTATTGCGGTTTAATACATGGTAAAAGGTATATATATATATATGTATATAATTTTTATTTTTTTTATTTTTTTTTTTTTTTTTTGGTCAAGTTTACTCTTTTCAATTCCTCTCCTCTTATTCATAAACTTACACTTGCGGCAAATAATTTCGCGAACTTACATTAACCGTCATTATAGCTCAACCCTACTTCTGCTACTTTACCTATCGATGCAGAGTCATTATCTGATGCGACTTACGTTTGCTTATTCATCTGCTCGTTAGACGTCTGCTCCATGTATTTTTGTGTTCAACCTATAGGTAAAAAAATTTTTAAGATATTTCGATGAAATCTGATACATCCGCATGTTTCGGCTCAAGGACAAGTCCTTTTTGAAAATGTATTGGATAGGGCGACCTATGCGATTTATCCCCATATATAATGAAAACGTTATTATATAACATTTTTAATAATAATAAACAAGTGATATAATTATATTTAGCTAGGAATGACACGTCAATAAGCATCTCTTCAATAATTACGGAGACTTTTTTGGGCACTTTGATGGGCACGTTCGTACGCACTTTCACATTTGATCTGCGAGTTCAGAGGAACTTACCGTTCAAACTCGCTTCCCTGGCCTTGAAAATCCCGACGGATAATCCGAGCGAATAAAATTAAATTTACTCCAAACCTTTCTCTAACCGAACAGGCATATGATTTATGCGCATTTGTCATGCACACTTGTGCATGCATCGAATATGAGTGACGGCTTGTGAATATAACACAAAAAGCACAAAGCCATAAACATCCGTATATTCTATCTAAGCTGAATATAATTTATCTTTCATCATGGCGTAAACAAATGCGTTCTTCCATCGGGAGACGTTCGCGTTAACTTTGAACTGTCAACACGCAACAGCCATATTACGATGACAGTTGACGAGTGAAAATTATTGGTTTGTTCGGAAAGTGATTTCGTTTCCTATTTTTACACTCAACTACATCTTTTCACAACCAACTGCATATTTTGAGAATGAAAAAGTTTATTTACCTCTGGGCAATAGTTTCTGTTTCACGCTTGTCAGATATGGAAAATCGTACGCAGCATTTTCTGGCATATCTGACTGTTTTATTATCAAAAATGTAAAAAGGCTGTAAATGCAAGAATCAAATTATTGGATATGATTGGAGAGGGTAGACAAAGAGACAGACAGAATTCTAGTTCCAAAATTGATTTGCAAAAATTTCGTTTCGTTAAAAATGCACCATGTTCCGGAACGCTAGTTGAAGCTGATAAAAATAAAATAAAAGTATTAACTGACGCAAACTGACGCCTTGGTCGTTCAGGTTGCTCTCAAAAAAAAAAAAAAAGAAGAGAATTTGCTTTCCGAACAACTCAATAGATGGGTAATTTTAAACATTGGATGCGAAACAAAAGTCAAAACTATCGCGTTCCTACATCTTGGAGATATAGTCGACCAATCTCTTCAATCGCAACGGATGACAATTAGGGCATACCTTTTTGGAATTTTTTTTTTTGGATTGAAATTGACCCTGTGGCCCTACAGATCTTAAATCATGATTTGATTCAAGTTGCATAACTATAAGCAATAGACGTAACAATATCATAAGAAGCTATAACACATATACTTGCTGATCAGCTCGCAATTCTAAATGACCTTATTTGCACAATTTTCAAATTCATTCCAATGAGTTAACAATAATCTGAATTATCAATTTTTCTAATATTATTAGTTATTTTAAAAAATTTCATTGAAAACAATTTGCTTTGACAATAATTATAATTAAAACGAATGAAAAGAGTTTTTTTTTTTTTTTTTTTTTTTTTTGTTAACTTTTCAAGGTAGCAAGCTGCTAAGCTCTAAGAATTGATTTCGGCTAACTGATAACTTCAGTACAAGTAAGCCTAATATATATATATATATATATATATATTTTTTAATCTAACTTAAGGTTCCTTCCGTGAGCATATTCAAGATTCGCTTTGAATCTCGTCTTTACCTCAGACAGTGGACAGTAGATTAGTCTCGAGAGATTTGCAGTTTCATTGCTCTCTCTCGTTAGGAAAATTTTTCAGAGCGTTTTCAAACAATAACAACAACCGCTTCAACCAACAAACCAAAAAAAAAAAAAAACAAAAAATCCAATATTTTACTTTTGTTTTTGGCGTTTGTTTGTGAGATTTTTTAATGATAAGCAAAAAAAAAAAAACATTTGGTAACGCCATATACAACTAACCAATACACGTACCTATCTCCAACCGCAGATACGTTTCGAAGGAGATACAACAACATGAAAAAAAATCGTCAACCCAATGATAACTGGAAACGCTTACAATTTTCTATTGTAAATTGCTGTTGTTTTTGTTTTTGTTGCGGTTGTGTGCAACGGATAACAATAGCTAAAATCATACAAAATTCTCTAACGAACATAAACACGCACATATGCATTTACTTAGTTAGTTAGTTCGTTAGTTAGTATATAAGCATATATGATAAACATGCATATATATGTATGAACGTAGGTGTATATATATGTGTATATGTGTAAGCCTACGTGTGTGTATATGTATGGATGGATTTGTTAAACAATACACTTTAACAAAAGAATATTTCGCACGCAATAAATTGTAGCATGTTTTTGGGAGTGAAGTAATGCAGAACACAACCGTTGTTGTTACTTGAGTTACCTGGTTGGCTGAATTTTCAGCAGAACAGACAGGACGGCAGGAAGAGGAGGATGAATTCTACTTTCAATTCTATGTATTTGCTCACGTGCGCATAGATAACGTTTTTGGGAGATTAATGTAAGCTTAGCTAAAATCGTTGTTACTGTTCTTGTTGTAGTTTCCTCCCCTCCTTCACCACCTGCTTTGCCTTTACGAAACTCGATTGTTTGTCTATATACAAATAAAACAGATGATGATGATGATGATGATGATGATGATGATGATGATGATGATGATGATGGGCGGATGAGGTGATGCGGTAATGGGCTACTATGTTAGAATGAGTGCGGCTGAATGGAGCGGGGAGAGGGAGTGGCGGTGTATACGTATGTCACGACTTGACTATTTGGAGAATTCAGTGCTTTGCTCAGTTCAGTTAATTCGTTTGTTCATTTCATGATGCAGGTAAATCTGTTGTTATGGTTGCGTGTCCTTATTAAAAACCGCGTATGATGGTAACAAACAGAATACAAAATACTCGTAATCGTAAAATTCGGGAAAGAGATGGTGAACGAATGAATTTCGAATTTATTAAAAATAAAACAGAAAAGATACGCATCGAATTGAAGTGAGACGAAGGGAAGCATTTTCAAAGTCTTTAAAAAGGATTTCTTTTCCCCTTTTCTACTTTTCGGGAGGAAAGCAAATCGTTAACTTAGCCGTAATGCCGTAAGTGTTGTTTTAATCAACTATAAATTACGCGATTTAATGCTTGAATAATATCACGAGTTGATTTAAGAGATAATTTGGAAATAGAAAAAGAGGAAAAAAAAACCAAAAAAAAAACTAGAAAAACTTGAAAGCATTCTCTCGAAGTCCTCTTTAACTGGAAAGACATACGGCAATTGAATTTGTTTAAAAGCGACTCTTACTTAGCTAAAGGACGCAATTTAATAACTTCATCCTCCCATAAAAATGCAAGTCGACTTCATGAAAAGAATCTTTTTTTTTTTTTTTTAATGACAATTGCATAGCATTGGCCCAGCATGTGCAAAAAGTGAAGAAGAAAAGGGACTAGAAACAAAAAAAAAAAAACAAAAAATAAAAAATAAAAAAAGAAGGAAACACTACAATACCTCACGTCAGCCAACTCTGTGTTAATAGTCTTTGCAGCAAAAGTAATCTACTTATAGGCATTCACTATATATTGAATAGAGCGAATATAAAGAGAAAGCCGTTGAAAAGCTAAGAGAAAAACAAGGAGAAGAATACCTTTCTTCGCATCCCGCACTTCGACCAACCCCACTTCGACGGAGTCATCTTTAACTTCGGACTCTATGAGATAACACTTTGAGAACAAAAATAACAATAATTGTAACAGTTAATAAAGTAATCAAAATAAAATGTTGTAAAGAAAATAAAATTACACAGAGCCACAAACAAATCCTTGGTTATTATTATCATTGTGTCTTATGTTTGTTTTTGTTCGCTTTCGCTTTCGTTTCTTTTTTTTTATTTTTATTTTTTTTTTAAATGTTTGTTGCCTTCGCTTCTCCTTCTGCTTCAAGTTCGTGTGTTTTATCAAGTATGTGTATTTATTTACAGGTTTTAGTTTTAATTAAGTTAATTGTCGGCAGTTTAACTTAATTGAACGTGAAAGTATTATATTACTCATGAAATTAACTGGAAATCGTCCAGTTCGCAAAGGGGGCATGAGTTAGGATGTTTTGTGACGCGCTGTACGTTGGAGCAAGGAGAGAAAATTTAATAAATTAGTTTAGTTTTTTTTTTGCTGAGCAGTTAATCATTATTATTGTCTCAAGTATCGTTAAAGTGAAAAACGACAAACGATTTATGTAAGTCAATTAGATTTCCGATTAATTAATCAAATAAACATTAAAATTAAGCGTTTTTTCTGTTTTTTTTTTGTTTTTTCCTTAAATTGATTCCATTAATTATTGAAATTGTTGAGAAGAATCATTTGAAAATACGCTTACAGCTTATTATTTATTTGCAGATATTCAGCTTTAATTATAATACGCGAATATATATTACTCAAGCTCAATAATTATGCATTGTTTCCATGTAATTATAGTATCCTTTGCGTGTTTAAAGGAGGCCGGCCGCACAACATAAACTGATAGCAAGATTAGTTAGTTTATCTTTTTACAATTATTCGTCATAAAGTGTTCAAAAAGTAGTTTCCATTGCTATACAAAGGCTTACTTTTCATGCGTATGCTTTTGCGAAAAGGAGGGACTCTAAATGTAGACCTGCGTAGTGCAAATATGACACCGTTAATTTCTACGCAATTGCCATACATCATGAAATATTGAAAATTTGAAGTCTTCGTTCGAGGTTCTCTTCATCAGAAAACCAAATATACGAGATACAAAGAATAGACTTGCATGGTGTAAATTTAGTAGACTTGAGTTTTACTTTGCAATACTACTACGGTACAGTTCTCGTTGTGAAATTAAATTAAAATTAGGCTAGTGTGCTCTAAAAGGGCTTAGCTTTCGTAGCAAATATTACATATATAAGGGATTCAAAACATCGATCCATCCGATCCACATTTTACGCCGGAACACTATTACTCTGCGATTATTGTCGAGAAATTTTTTCAAATTGCATTTTCTCTTAATGGAATGGTAAAAATTTCAATAGGACCTCTTCATCGACCAAAGCAACTCGACGTTTTACATTTCATTAAAATCAAATTCACAGATAAGATATCAAAGATACCTTTAAATTAGTACAACAGAAGGTAGATCTATCTTAACCCTTTCTTGTCAGTACTACATACACTCAAACAAAATTGCTACCCACTGTCCCACAAGTGGCGTAGGGTATAATTGAAGAAAATTGAAATTCAATCACTTAGCATTACAATTAAGCAAATTCAGCAAAGAGATAAATTTTTCGATCGAAAGTTCTGACGTCAACTGATCAAAGACTTTGGCCTAAGCAAGAGAGAAATCTATTGAAACTGGAATAAGTCGAAATACGGCGAAATACTATAGGATAGCGAAATAGGGTAACTAAGATATTCGTTCCCGTTCAAATAAAATATATTGATAGACAATGTCCCTTTAACTGTTGACATTCTCAATGAACCCATTCGTATAAATTTCCGAAATTTCATTTTTCCTTTCGAGAATTGCATGATCTTTATGTTAATCGACGGAAGGATTTTAATACCTCGTCCGTTATAATTGAACATTTAGGTCCTGCCCAACAAAACTAGAGATTGCGATATGAAACTCGCTAATTACAGTCTTAGTTTATTCTCGTCGACCAAGGGCGCAAACAAACGTAATCTGCCCTCAATAAATAAAAAACTACAACCAACAATCCATAGCAAATGCTTATAATATTGATTGATAGAAATATATCAGACTTGGGAGCAAATATGGATATGATCAACATGCTATTTTATTGCATCGTTATTTTAAATATTGTGTGACTATTGCGAACATGTCTTAGAAGATGAGTGTAGAGATGCGGACGCGGCGGGCAACCAATTGAATGGATGTGCTGGCTTGAGTTGGTGGTCATTAAAGATTTGACTCAAGGCGAATGCAACTTTTCCCGTTGTATTCGTTTTAATAAAATTTTTGTTTAAGTTGTTTTCGGAAACGAAAATAATTGTTGTTCGTACAAAATAATAACACATTTTTTAACAACTTTTTCTTTTTTTAATGGTAAAAAAAAACAAAAGTAAAAGAGAAACGAGACTAAGACGACAGCATTTTGTTACGCGTGTCTGTTTATTCTGTTTCTTGTTTACCTGGACGCCCGCATTTAGTTGTTGGCCCGTTTGTCTAAAGCTCTGCTTAACTAATACACAAGTCATTTCGATTTGTAATTCGGGCAGATCGAACCAATGCTGCAAAGCGTTTTGTGCCAAAACTGAATTCTTTGTGTGGTCTGAAATATTTCAATAATACATACATGTATATACATATATACATATATATAAAAGTATAGCTTTGAAGTCCACTTTTACGTAAAAAAAAAAAAAACAAATGCACAAATTTTGCAAGCATTTTAATATTAAGAATGTTTTCACCTTTATACGCCATGAACGCTGGATTGCTATTCATCAGTCAATCAGGTATCTTTTCCAATGGTAGTTCGGCGAAGAATTTCGCTGACGCTGCCACTGGTGCGAGTAAGATATGGTTCAAGGGCGACTGATTATCTCTTAAGTATCACAAATCTTGCACATCCAACCTCAAACTATTACGCACCGGTCCAATAGCACTGTGCCGGCAATGCCATTTTTTTAATAATCCCAACTGCTGGTTACCCTTTGTGATTTGGTTCGCGCAGCAATTGATTTTATTCGTCTAAGACGCGTAATTTATTGTTGACCCATTCTTTATTTTTTGGCTGCCTTTGGCGCAACTGACGTTATTCCTCAGCTGGAATTTCCAAAGATGTTATAGTACGTTCAACGAGTGTCGTTGGAAGACTTGCTGCTGTTGTCATTGTAGATTGCCACAATTCTTATTGTTATTGTTGTTGTGATTATATTTGTGTTTGCGGTTGAGCTTCATGAATCGGTGAGCTATTATAAGTGATGTTAGTGGTAGCGCTATTGCTTGGTTTGGGTCATTCACTCAACCTTTGTTCCGTAGCCCGCACTTTTAATAAGAAAATAGTAGAATTATTATTGCACTCTCTCACATTCATTATATTAATCCGACAGCTCACCAATCACAAATCATCAAAGATCAATCAATGTGAAGGAAGATCTAACTCCTTACAGGAATCTCGTATTTATTTTTTTTTCCTACCCTTAAGGAGAGATTGAATCTCGACAATAGAACCTAGCAATTTTAACATATATAGTCACTGAAATGGAAAACCATCCTGACAAAGTTCGAGGTAGGAGTTTAACGTTAGGCAGCTTAATTTACTGTAATCACAGGTTAACTTTGTTAATATTGAAAACGTTCTCGCAGCGGTGCCGTAAGACTTGTGAGTTGCTGTTCGATCACAAGCGCTGATAATATTTGTATTTATGAACTCATCGAAACCTTTCATGAAAGAAAATTTCCCACAATTGACAATGAAAATGTATTTTAAATCACTGTAATATGTTGCTTTAATTGCATTGCTTTACAAGTAATATTTATGTTAAAAGAGTAAAATTTAGGTTTGCAGCTCACAAATGAAAGGCAATTTTTCGTTGCAACGATCATCGTTCCAATCGAATTCGTTAACCCAGGTATGAATACAACCTTCATTGCTATTCATATCGTTCGGCTCACCAGCATGCCAAATAAAATCTTTGATTTTTTCCCCACTAGCTATCCAATGCCATTCACCGTTGACCTTATGACCGCCCGTCCAATACGGTGGCATTTTTTCTAAACAATTTAAGCAAAACTTTCATAAAAACTTTCACGAGTTTCATCTGTAAGCACTTGCAGCAAACTTACGATATCTGAGTCTTATGAAATTTTTCAAAAAATTCGCTTCACCTTCACTTTCTATAGACACGAGATGCATGTTTCGTTTGGCGCAATAACTTTCCGCATCTCGCCATTGCAACTGAACATGAAATGAAGTGAAAATGTAAATAAAATATAAAAACAAAAATAAAAATAAAAATTACCAGAGCCACGTTATAGACGTAATAAGCTTTGTTCGATTTGTAAGCGAATGGCGTCGCAATCATTCCCAACAACATTAACATGCAATTAATCGATAAAATTTTCGATTTATTTACCAACCGCATCCCAACCATTGTTGTGATTCTTTTAATTGGAAAAAATAAACTGATTTAATTTCATTTCACCTATTGGATTAGAGCTCTACTAGTTTTATGTAAAATAAAAAAAAGGAAAAAAAAAAAAAAACGATGACTTAAAGATTTCTAGACAATAACTATTAAATGTGTTACTCTTTGTGTAACATCTGCCTACACATCCCCTATGATTTTCTCCCGCGCTATCTGCGGACCGTAATCAATTTATCTGTTGTTTTTTTCGAAACGCGATAACGTCGCCGTATATAAAGGCAAAGTGAGAAAATTTACATTTAATTACGTCTGAATAGTTGAAAATATATATATGACGGGTAAAAAGAGATTCGCTTTCAGCTGATCTGATCAAATTGCGGTCGCAGTTAGAAAGAGTGAGAATAAATGTTTATATTATACAAAGCATTCTAAAGCATTACAACGACTAAAACAATTCTCATGATTTTTTTTTTTTTTTTTAATAATTATCAACAAATTCCGGTTTTTCCTAAGTACACTTAAAAAAAAAAAAAAAAAACTCAAGAATGTTTTAAAAAAAATTTAAAATTAAATATTTGATATTTAACATAAACATGTGCTTGGCGCATAATTTATAAAAATTGTAAATGAATTTAATTTAATATAATAATTATTAGACCTTTCAAAACGCATCACTTCGACTTGGCCGCAAATCTAAAAAGCTAGAAGCAAATATTTAATGCATCCAAAAACGAGCATGATCTCCTTCCAAACGCGCCTTTAATAGACAAAGAATTATTCTTATGACCTCAAAGAGATATTCAAATAAAACTTAGTGCGAATATTTCCTGGCGCCAGCTTAAAGGACAACGTATACGAATTTCAATCGATCGCGATTTACAAGAACACAACAATACTTATGTATGAATATAAGTCGGCTCTATAATTCTCCATAAAATATATAATAAGAGTTTGCTGCTTATTTTATGTTTGTATATGCATTTGCCTTCGCAAAACAATTTCATTTGCACTGTTATTCTAGTATCTTCCTTGATTTGATTGCTTGTTTGCCTTGTTGAGCGTCTTGAGAGTTGCGCTATACAATATTTTATTGAGTGATCTAGAAATTTATTTATATGCATGATTAACATTTTCAAATGTGCTCGTGCATGACGCTCAAATTCTTGCCGTAAAACTATGTACTTTCAATAGAATAGAAATTTCCTTAAAATTTTACATTATTGTAAAAATAAGCTTTTGCTTAATATTTAGCTGAAAATAAAAACGAGCTAACAAAGCAAAATACTCAGTTAAACGGTAAGTCCAGTTAATACAGAAAGCGACTTCATTCAGATTGCAAAAGCGAAGAAATGCGAATTTTACTAATAAAATCTTATCTTAAATTTCGAAATTATGTTAATCCTAATTGCAGCTGCATGGAATTCTAATTCAGCTAAAAAAGAATAAGCTTTAATAACATGCAATATCTATTATTTATAATAGAAAATTAAGGCAAATGCAAGTTCAATTGCCTGACATTACAATTCAGCTAATAGAAGATTTCTAATAACGTGAAATTATTGCTACTTATAATAGAAAATATAAAAAAAACCTCATTTCAGC